ATATTCGAACACTTAGAATGAAAATTGCCGAGGCGATTGGAACACTGAATTCCTTTTCGTACACTTATCTAGGGTGGAGGAAGGATACATACAACCACCATTTTTGGCGCGGAAGCATGGGCATCTTCAAATAAGTCGTTACAAACCAGTGCGTCGATCGATCTTCTTCAAGTCAGTCAGTGTCTCTGCGCGCTGAATTGGCTGTATTTTCAAGGTCAACACGGTCGCTGCGTCCATGGCTGGCGAGGCAGATTTTAGCGGCTTAACCATTCTACCGGTAATCGTTCTGAGACATGAACAAAGAGGATGAGCGACGGCTACTTCACTTAGCGGTCGATAGCTGTGGTTGATGGGTCGTCGTATAGATCTCGGAGTTGACCTACTTTTGCGATTACAAATGCTACTGTAGCACGAGATTCGAAAAATTCCACGCGTATTTCTGCGGCAGTGGTGCGAGAAATACGATGTGGAAACGAAAGATAATAAGCACAAGCTAGATAAGAAAAAGGAATGTACTAAATAGCGGTGATGAAGCCGGATCGTTTTAGTGTAAGCACACGTGTGTGTGAAAAGAAGTGTGACAGTAAATATGGTTTGAGTACAGGTCTACGTCCACACGGCGTGTGAAGCACTCATATGGCTCATAACCCGTCCTGAATCTTGTGGTAGAGGTGACATGGTTTTGTACCTGTACCTCAGCAATTGTTCCTTACAAGTCATTTTTGAACTGTTGATTGGAATCTTCGGTAATTTCGATTGGGTGCAGGTTGAAATCCCCAACCAGAAGGACGCGGCTTCACGACCGTTCAAGGACTCGCTTCACGGTAGAAGCTAGGCGGCGATTCATTTCCAAGATGGATACTGGAGGGCGGTAAGCTATGGTTAACAAACACATATCACGTCTCAGATGTAGATGGCCCCATAGAGAATCGACAACTTGTGTTTTGGGTCGTCGATCACAACAATATGTAGGTCAGATCGATAACACAGGATAACGCCGCCTTCTCTGCTGAGTCCATCGTTTCGTAGGGGAACCATGTCAGGGTCGGTGATCCCAATTATCAGTCATGCTTCAGTTACTATGAACATACCCCAAGGGGTAGAAATCTGACGAGTACGAATGTCGGTTAACCTACTAAGAGAAATTTGCGCGTTGGTATGCAAGCAATTGAGGGCCCCGAAGGTTAGAAGTGTGCTCGCGGATTTGACTTTCGTGTGGGCGGTTTATGCCGACGCTTGTTGGTTCTACTACCAGTCGCTTTTTGTTGAACCGCAGACACGAGCCCCAGTGCCATTTCGGGTTGGTGTGTAGTGTCCAGTGTTAGCAGGTAGCCGATAACCTGGTACTGTTTCGGTTGTCGTGAAGTTTTGACAGTGTTACGGTTCTGAGCTGCCTGTTGACGGAGTTGCTCATGTGACTTGCTTTTTCAGTGTTACTTTGTCTAATGTGTGGCCGTGTTTCCATCGTCTTTATGCGTATACCTTGTATCATAAGTTTGCGCATTTTGAGCCACATTTCGATCACTTTCTATCAGTAGTTTGGACTGCAATGTCACTTTAATCACTCTGGGACCACTCTCTGTTAAGGTAGGTGGTAACGATAGCCTTGCTGTCGAACTAGTGATCACGTTTTCGAGTGTGAGTACTCCATGGATGAAGCGCCATTTATCCAAGTCACGCGTTTAGTACTCGTTGGATTTCTGGAGCTCGGGGACACCGTGGACAAGGATCGATGCCACGTATGTCTCTTTACGGACGTCGTCCGGATTTTGTTTGCGTTTCTGACGTTCGCTCCGAGACATCCGAAAAAATTGCGAACAGTGTATGAGGTAGTACGGGGAAGAGTAGCTGACAAGAGAACTGTGTCTACATCATTTCCTAACTGAACCGTGACTTGGAGTAACCGCGATTCACCATAGTGCACAGAGTTTGGGTAACAGACGAGGCGCATCATACCTACCGGCTTCGCTTGGACCTCTATTAGTTGACACAGAGAATCCCATTGTTTCCGGCAGTCTAGCAAGTTGTATTTTATGGAGTTTGCCTCGGATTCAGGCACGCTGAAGCATAAGACATTCAGTGAAGTATGATATTATCTCATGTACTTTTTAGAGGGATGTGTAGCTGCTTTCTTTGCACGGATAACTGATGGCGTCTTGTAGTTGTGTTGGCAGCACGAACTGCTCCAAGTTTGGCGGCGAGCTGGGCTACGATAGATGGTGCCTCTGTCAAGGGCGTGTTGTCGGCCCTCCAACAGTAATCCATGTGGCGCGTGGCTCTGATCAAGTATACGCTACGGACGCATTTTAGGAACAGCCCCTAGTGTCTGGGTGATTTTCAGCGCTTATTTTCCCGAATCAATGGTTAATGAATCAGCAGACACATTAGGGCTTATCACTCCGCATGTCGGTGAAAGTCTATGCACAGTGGGATTCACCTATTGCGAAATCATTGGTCAAGTCTCTCAGCTATGCTCCTCGAAAGTTCCGGGCCTGATGGAATTCCCATAGTTTAATAAAATGCAGTGGTAGCGAGTTGTCCCTGCATAACATCTTTACACTCTCTTTTAACAACGGGGTATAGCTTACTTAATGGAAGGCTTCTGTTGTTATCCAGCGACACAAAAAGGAGCCGCTCAAAAGGTTAACAAACTTCGACCCACCAACCACACACCCATCGTATCCAAAATTGAGGAAAGAATAGCGAAATATGAACTACTTATCTTCTTATGATGAATGCACATACAATACTCAATAATTGATTTTTGTTATTCTGTTTCACCAGCAGACTTAGAATATACACCCGCGAAATTCGTTGGTAGACAGCAGGGGGTGTGCATCAGAGGCCATTTATCTAAACCGAAAACTTTAACCAATGGAGTAATTCAAGAGAGTGGCACCTCACATAAAATCAGCGAAATCAGTGGCTCAGTAACATAGTCGGACATATTACTGAAATAAACGCTTCACGCTTCTGCAGTCGTACTAATCTTTTAAGCGGGAGTTTCGTCGTTTGTTCCGGAGAGTTTGGCTGAACCGGGGATGTGCAATAGTGCCACGTGTATTATCTACAGGAACACAAGATGGTAACGCCGCAGAGAAACGGGGAAGCCTTGTCTAAGGAAAGGGTTCGTGATGGTTAAAAACCAGTTGGGTTATGTGGTGGTAGGCACGAAGATGGTATAAGCATAAGCTTCGTTGCTTAGATTATGAATCGGAAGACACGTATAAAAACGTCAGCGAAAAAGGAGGAATCAGCAACGGAACTTTGTCGCTTCGCTGTCCTATGGCATGCAGAACATAACTATTTTGAACATGCTCCATGCGGGATGGGCGTAGTAGGATAGAAAGGTCACGGCTGCATTTGAGCTGGGATATAGCCAGCGCGCCCAAATCGAGACGGAAAAACGATTAGCACCCTCAGTCAGGGCTTTAGGTGCGAAAGGCAATGCAAAAGACTAATAAATATTAATAATGTGTCAGCTGTACGCCGTAACGCCGCTTCGCTGCCGCGCGACCACCACCAGTCGCGCGAGGGCTGAGTATACTGCGAGGATGCCCACCCCTACGCGGATTCGAACCGGTGACCTTATGGTTGCAAAGTAAACGTGCAGACCTCTCGGCCACTGGCCGACACACAAGATTACGATATACAAGATGAACCATGTGAGAAAGAAATAGATGTAAACCATTAGTATATCGCAGTCTGGAAGATTTAGTTTGCCTGATGTCCAACCACTGACTGTATTGTGCAGAAGTAACTATCGAAATCGGCCAAGAAAACTACAATATACGATGAATTAGAGAGACAAGCAAACCGTGGAACCAGGTTAAAGTCTAGTCGCATCGAGACCACCACTCAGTTGTTCATTTCTCACGCGAAGAGTGGAACCCAAAAGTACAGGGGACAAACTGCGTCACCCATTTTCAAGGGGACGGCCCCATTTTTAATCGATAAACAAGATTCAGCCAAGATAAGATGATTCGAAAACCGAAGTCTACCGCAGAGTAAGATGCTGAAAGTAAGTAGCACGAATTGCCTCTACTCCGTCTAAACGATCCTATAAAAAGAAACGAACGTCAACAGCCCCGATGAAAACATTAACCCATACGGAATTGTGTCACAATGCAAACATACACGGTAAGGTAGCAATACGTAGCAATTTCGTCCCAAGCAGAAATACAACCTCCATCATCGTGGCTGCTTGCGTACATGCGCAAAAGAAAGCAGAGACGATCTTAGTGGACGGTACAACGAACTTCGCTGCGTGTTCGATAAACCGTCAACTAAAAGCCATCTGGTAATTTGAAGCGGGTACCAGGCGAAAGACTCGGTTTAGAAAAACGACAATTTGCATCTAGGTTACTATGAAAGGTGGTCACAAGAAGCAGTGCAGAATCCACCCAAAATGGGCCACAATCAGTCACAATAGACTGTGTTCAACGGAAATTAACACATCGTGTTGATTCTAGCAAGTGAAGACTAAGGAAACACTGGAAGTTTAGCTTGAGAGCATCTACCTTCTCAAGTTCCGGAGTTGTGACGTTGGTTAGTTAGGCGGTAGCACAGTGAGTATAGCAAAAGTTGCGGAGTAATGACATCGGTAGTGCATTTTGCAGCCATTTGATAGTCCAATGAGAGTGGCAAGTTCGAGTTTGTTGAATTGCATGAGCACAAGACCTATACAGTAAAAGCGAATCGTTGACATTACGAAAGCAGCGAACATGGGCAACCAACGAATGTGACCGGATACAGAAACGGAGTGCAACCTATGACGGAGAATGGTACGCACACACAGATACGTAAGGAAACACAATCTAGAATCGGAAACAGTACATGCGACCAGTTGAGCAGCACGGGTATGTGTAATGCAGTGCAGTACACGAGGCTTTATTGACTTGTGACGTAGGCGGAAATGTGGTAATAAGTCGCACGCGAAACAAACTATGAAGGACACACACCAAGTGCACTAAACAAATGCAAAAGGACATTCAAAGAATGGGCAACGTGGTTGAAGACCCTGAAAACCGTGAGATTGTATTTGACGGAACTTGATCGGATTTCGAGCAGAAAAATGTTTGCAAAACCCATGATTGAATGGGCGAGCCTACAACGTGGCACATTAACAAGTGAAGCGAGAGAAGAAAGCAGACAAGTGATACACAGCACCCCAAGTGGTTCAAAGCCGAGGAGAACGACTTCAATGATAAGAACACAGCCTAGCAAACCGGGGAAGGGTAACAGGTAATAAGGAGGGAGATAAAAACGAACAAAAAAGAGCGAAAGTGTACGCACGTGAGTAGGAAGTTTAGCAAAATAGTGGGTCGTATAACAACAGATAAAGGAAGTTGAGCAAGCGATTGGTTAGGTAAAATCAAGAAATTCGTGTCTAAACTAATGTGGGAAATCCCAAAACTGTGGTCTCGATAGCTGAAATGAATAAGAACGGGAGAGGAAAGCACAACTAAGATGGACAAATAAAACCAAGTAGCCACTTGGTGGGGCACACGCGAAGATGCCGTGGAAAGGATGAGTCAACCAAAAGAATTTACAGAACGATAGTGGTCGAAAGTGGGAGTGATAAGCGCTATTGAAAACGCGCAAAGCGAACATACATTATTAACGAGCGTAGACAAAAATTGACTCTAGCGAGTAGTCTGCCCCGTGACTTGCAAAAACGACTAAGCGGTTTCCTTAGAACGACACGGAGATGGGCTTGGCCGAGTTGAGGTGATAGCACAGTCAAGCGCGGAGGACGTGGCCTGAAGGTCGGAGGCCTGAAGAAAGAGTAAGGAAGACGAAAAAGTGAAGCTAGACAAGCTAACACCCAGAATGTTCCGAGTTTACGTTACAGACAGAAAGAAGTGGGGTCTCACATTTGAGCCAAACCATCATCACTGACAATGGGGTATATGAGCCTAAAGAGCCAATTCTGTCCAAGGTTAGGGTTGTGTTGGATGCGATGTCAATCGATGGCGCATGCGATTCAGAATAACGAACTAGTACCTCCCATTACTTACTAGAATCAGGATCAAAAGATGCTTGAGATCCAACCCGGTTTCAATTCAGCAAGCAATTTAGAGAGTTGCGATTGCTCACGTTGAAATACCAGGGAATACAATGCCAAAAGTTAGTTGATTGCTACCAAAACGACCACCCATGTTCCCGTGTATAGAATGAACACAGCAGTGAAAAAAACAATAGTCAGTCCCCACTACAAACGACAGCATTTTGCTAGCGGAATGATAAACTGTGAAGAAGCCCAACAGAAAAGTAATGCGGTAATCATTCAAGGCATAAGCTGGGGGGGTGCGAATGAAAGTAGATGCTACCAGATTAGAGGTCTAGCTAAATGTTTTCGCACTTGACCAATGTATCAAAAGGACTTCACTCATGGCCCGTGACTTTAGTGGACCCCAGCTACTAACTACCTCCTGATCGTACCATGAGGTGTTGCTCAAAGAAAACGCAAACACCGTGTAGTCGAGAAATCGTTGGGCGATCACCAGAATCGGTAGCTGAAGAGCACCTGTAACGAACAATGATACACAATCAACTCGGCAATTCTCATGAAAATAAGTTGAAACACTAGTAGCTCGAGTTGATTGTTCAAGGACCCATGTGGTAGCCGAGCTGAGAAACTGGTCTGCAAAGTTTTCATCAACAACCGAGGTGACATTCTCAGTGTGTTATTGTGTAGTCAGTGAGAATACACACTGAATGGATGAAATGAGAGCAGCTACAGATGAGATGGCACAATTTATGTGGTGATCTTCGGATCACACAGATGGTAGTCCGCCAAGAAGGTTACCCACAGTCACGCTGTATCATGACCAAATAAGCAACGCAGACATTCCACAAACAAATCTGGGGACACCCAATTCTAGAGGACATCTGAAACATACCTCCGGGCAGATAACGAAGGGAAAAAGAAAACTAAAGTAAAAACCAAAAACTGACCACAAGATGCACACCTTGAGTGACTCTGTAGAATTATTTCTGAAAGTGTTCGGGAGTAGTGCTGAACGACGCTGAACACCCCACTGTACCAGTGGAAGACAATTCTTTAATAGATTAGTGCGAAGCAAAGCTAACATGTAGATGTGTGTCTAAAAGGGTAGAAGTGTGACTGTGGCAGAAAGTGACTTAAATAAAATGCATTCGCTTATCATCGCTGTCATTTCGAATCTCATTCGATGTCCAATTAAGCGATCTAAATGACCAAAAGACACTAGCCGTTTGTCTATCGAGTTGCAAAAGTTTCGTCACCAAACGAGGTGACACCATTCGTGTGCAACGACAGGCCATGCTCCTTGCAAATCCTAGAATTTATACACATTTCGGATGTCAACAATAGTAAAACTAAATTCTCGCTTAACGTCTATCAAGCGCTTAGAACATTCCATGGACCCAGCTGCTAGTGGAAATAATGAAGTCACAAATTACGAATGCTAAGGAAACCATTTGAAGAAAGTAGTGTGAGTGACATCACACCACTCGCATGTGGGTGATGGAAGTGCTTACAGCAAGATCAATTTCTAGGTTCCCCGGTGATTCTGCATCACCTAGAGAGGAAGCAGGAGATGCAGTAGTCGGGTGGTTCACATCGGTTGACTTGGATAGTTTGGGGATATGGGCGCTGGAACATTTCATTCCATCGGTCAAATGAGGTGAGGCAGCAAGGGAACCGGGAGTAATGGGCAACGATTGGGCCTCATAAGACCAAGAACGAGGCTTGAGCCGTGGATCTTTGGTCGAAATCTCAAAGGGTAGCCTAATTCCATTGGCGCGATTGTGAGAGAATGTCTTCGGATCGGAAGTTTCGTCCACATTAGCTTTATCGGTGCAATCCATAGAGGCTGTCTGCTTCAAATCCATGAAATCGAACGGATGTGAAAACCGTTTAGGGAACTTCGTATGTTCAGTTGAAGATTTTGTTGGCTTGGTTATGATGGTGAGCGATGAACCACGATCCCGCTTCTTCAGGGGGACGTTAGTAGTGCAAGGAGATATTCCGACTCCGAGGACTAGGTACAAAAACCAATGAGCGGAACAAAGGAAGCACGTTTAAGCAACTGCACTACACTACGGAGGCTTTTAGGTACAGAGAAAGTATTCAATTAGGCAAGAATCATTGATAAACATGTAACCCAGTGGATTGACGACCAACAAGGTTGGTGCGTAAAGGGAATGATGTACTAACGGTGCAATCAAAAGCAAGGATTTAGTGCAAATTGGGCAGTAGGTATCCGGAAGAAACCCAACAGCGTAAAGTTAGATGGTGTAAATATGTATAAGCAGCTCCTAAAGCGGAAATCGATAGCAATCGATGAGAGAAATAAGAATCACGTGTTTGCTCGTTAGTTCCACCTCAGTCTGCCAACCTAGATCCGTGCACTGAAGTGCGGTGGTGGATCGAGGTGCTTTGACACAAGCTACCACAATAGTAATAACACTATTATTACCAATAAAGAGAAGTGACAATTAATATCCCCACATAGAATAGTGGATAGTCCGGGATGAAAAATAAATGAAAAGCGTTGTGACAGCCACAGTCCGATAAAGTGTCCAGGCACTAAATTGCCTGATCTCCTCAGATCCCATCCGGGAAGTTGACAAGCACCAACCCGACTTGAACTTTCGGCTAGTTTCTTTACGTTTTTAGCCAAGCAGGCCCGGTGGTTTAACAAGGAACAGAGTGGAAACATCAGATTGATACATTGGATAGCCGGTTAGCCACAAGAATAAAAAGCTGTACAACCCACCTGCGTTAGTTGCATGAGAAGAGTTGACAGAAAAAGGAGAGAGGGTGGAATGAGGATCCGTGTCACCGGGAGACGCGGCTGGAGAATTGGGAATCTGGGGACGGATTTGGGCGCGAATTTCCTCCGCAATAGCCTGCAACCAAAACGTGAAGTTCACCAACTCGACTTACAAACAAGCAGTGAAAAAGCATGGGGTAGAAAGTGTAAATGACCATGAAATGATAAAAAAGAACGCACAGGTCAGTTTATACTGACAATAAGCTGGATAAAAAGCAGCTCAATAGGAAGATGCGTAGTGAAAAGCGATACGAATGGGAAACAGATACATGCCACAATAAATGTTCATACATTCAAAGAATCGGACTAGAAAAGATGGTTGAAATGGCAAGAAGGCAATCGAGACATGCCAGGAAGTGAAAGTTAACATTGTGGAAGGACTGTAGGGAATGGATGATATACAAGAGGTCCTAATATAATGTCCTCGTTAGTGTGGCCTGCCCACAGTCAAGACACAAGTATGTCATTACCATATGTTAGTTCGTGTGATTTCAAATACGTTTCGCGTCAGTGGAATTTCAAAGTGTCGCGTTTTTCGCCTTATAATCTCCCCACTAGGCTGCTGATTATCTTTGTCATTTCCGCATCCCAAGATTAACAGCTATTAGCACTTTAATGCTCTTACGTTCTGTGACTTGCATCTTTATTTCTCCTCCATGGTTTACACGTGAACTGCACCTCTTGTCATCAATTGCAATAGGTTGTTAGACGTAACCTTAAATAAAAGGCCGGTTACTGGGCATATGTACGCTCCACAAAACTGGTAGTTGCAACGGCAAAGGCATCAAAATGCAAAAATCCAAGCTGATCCCTTGTCCGGTGTGCTAACTAGACTGCGAGCAGCGTAAGAGAAGTTGGCTCGGCCAAAACTCAGAATGGCATCCTTTGACTACCCCAATGTAAATTCCGACTTTTTCCCTGTTGGTACGCTCGTCGATATGACTGTTGTAAAAGTATCCCGTAGGCTGCATTACTCAAGCAACGCAGTTGTCTTTAACATCCCCGAGAGAATTCTATTCGTATCTTTACGAAGCATTTTGCTTACAATGCCTCTGCAAAATACTCAAACTACAGACTTGTAAGTCCTATTCACTTCCCGTTTATTGGTGGGCTAATAGCCAATAAAGTTGGCAAGACGCCTTTATAACGTGCAATTTAGTAAAGACATGCAGCTCTTCATCCTCAGTACGGGAAATTGCGTTCCCATATCCCTGTTAAATCCGGTTGGATCGCCAGAATTCACTCCGCAATCCGTGGCTGTCAACATTCCGTCAGATGGATCTTATACAGATAGACTCCATCTAACAGACTCAGCTGATGAAGTGGACCCAATAAATGCTCCACTAGAGCTAACGAATGCATCAATTGAAGTGAAAACGAAGCGAGCCATAAATTGCAACATACCACAGCACAAAATGAGAAACTGTACAGCATCTAGGTCATTAATGTCGATCTAGACCATTCCATCAGCTCGTCGGAGAACAAGGTGATCTGGCACTGTGACGACTCTAAACATCACTGTGGTGCTCTACCTGTAAACATGCACAACGCGAAACATCTCGATTTGGGAAGAGCAATTGTGGTTTGGCTATACGGAGACTGCGTTTCCAATTTTGTAAATACGTGTGACGGAATGAAGAAGTATGGCACGAAGTCGAATTCATATGGTGTCACTCCAGATTTGTAGTGATTCATAAAGTGTTGTGGCGCCAACATATAGAACATAATGATGATGAATCGGAAAGAGACGAGCAAAAAAAGCCAATAGTACGTGGATAGAGGAAAGAACAGAGGCGAAGTAAGGAAACAGAGAACCAGGCTGAGCTAATGGGCGGTTTTGTGACAAGCGTAATGAAAAATTTCAGTCGTATCAAGGACGTCATACTACTCCTGGTGCAATGATCTGCTTCACTTCATGCAATTTACCTGACTCAGTGAAAATGACCGCGCTGAACGATTCAAACGACTTCAAGTGCAAGATCATTCAGGGTGTACAAACAGCAGCACGATTTGGGTTGCTGAATGCTAGGCTAAAACGCTTCTCTGGCCACCGAGCCACATCGTTACTGTGTGCCACCTGAGTGGTGCAAGGCGACTATGCGGGTCAGCATCATTAGCCTAAGTGAGCACAGAACCGAACCAACGTAGCCCGACTCGTGGGGTTTAGGATCACAAAACACATTGTGTCCCACAAGAATGGGTAAAAAAAAGTAAATAGAGGCCTACCACACTGAGGCGCAAGTTTTGGTATTCCAGTGTCCACGCCGATTGCACAAAACTAACCTCTGCAGCAGAAACCCCGAAAAACGGTGTTAGCATCGGTGGAAACAAATTAATATTATCCGAGGCTATAATTATCTCTCATTAGGGCAGTTACCCGTGGGTTACTGGCAAAACTCATAAATGAAGATAAGTCCACAAAGACTAGCGTCTATACTTGTGGTCAAGGTGGATTCCAAACTGAATTAGTGGGCATCTACTCAGCGCTTGCAACTTACCAACCGCAGATCCCGATAACGACAATCGACCGACGAGCATTTACTTTTCTCGTCGAGACTCTTTGAAAAGTAGAGCGGTAGCACTTTATAACAATCATGTGTCTGGCCTAAAACACTGGATCACTGTTCATAATAAGTCCCGGTGAGTTCCATTTGATTTAGACAAAGCATGCCCTTGTGATAGCAGCCATAGATAAAAGTAAACTAAAACCGAGTAATGTCTTGTAAAAACAGAAAGCTGCAACCAGGTATTCCGAGCACTCAGCAACATGAAGTGAAGGTTACGAAATTCACGTAGAGGAAAAAAACAAAAATGACAAAGAACGGCTAAGGCATTCAAAAATACCTTATTTATCTGCTCTTCTAGTGTGTTAGTTGACACCACGACATGTGAGGCGCCCTCGGGCGATGTGGCGGCCGTATCAGATGTGAGCGTTTTATAGTTACGCGCCAGTTTGAAATGACCACTAACCACTGAAGAAGAAGCGTTGCTTGGTTGCGGCGGGCGCCCGACGTCCTCAGGATTCCGATTGTCCTACAATAAAAAAATTTGTTATTCAGATTTAAAAATGAAGAGGACTGCTGTAACGGATAAATCACAGTCTCTCGGATTCTATCGAACCATACCACAAGTCAAATCCCTAATCCCTTTGTTGCGCCTCTGATTCTAATCAGCTGACATTTTTACGGCTTGCTTGATTGGGCTACTGATCGTTTTGCTTTAAATCGCGTCTGACTGAATCGCTTGGTCGGCTGTGTAACCGGATGGAATTCAGTTAATTGTTGCCAGCTTTTGATCTTGTTTGGACATCCGGTTTTAAGTTTAGAACAGAACTATTGTATATGTTATGGTGAACATTGTCAAGGTCAGCATATAATTTGTTGTCCTAACCCTTTGTAAAATAGCACCGCAGAGCATTTCTGGCCTTGAATTCTGAAATGATCCGGGAGTCTTACGCGTTGCTTGAATCCACCGCCGATTTATCATCATCAACATCATTATACATGTTAGCTGCAGGTGGAAAAGACCTCAGCTATTGTACCGCAATACAAAAGACAAGAAAAAAACAAGAGACACACCGGCTGTCCCCAGTAACGGTTGGACATCGTTCCGGAGAGGTAACAGCCGGCTGTCGTGCCGCACCGATTTATCGATAACAACTGTACTGATCATAAGTTTTACAGAAATCGAAGACGCATAATTATGTCATTAGTCACGACTGTTAGTAGTGTCTGTGAAAGGGAAACAAATGTGAGGTGCTACGACGCTGACAACAGCCAGAGCAGTCAATTTGAAGTTTCGCATTGGTGAATCCGGAGTAGTCACTGTATGTAAAATGACCATGATGAAATGGGAACATGACAAATGCATCAGGTTACGTGCTGATCCGACACTGTCTAGAAAGATATTAATGCGCCTACTGCCGAATCAGCGTGGGCGTGTTGACGTCTAGCCACCTTAATGGCAATGGGATCAATCAAGAATAGTGTAACATGGGGGCAAGTAGAAATGTAAATCTGCGCAACTCAATCGAAATATGATTGAAAAGGTTAAAAAACTATCAATGACGTGTCAAAACTGTGATCGTTTTTTAAATTCTCACATGATATCGTAAAAAAACGTGTAACTCACGGTAAAGTGGGACTCACAAATGTGAGATGTCGGTGGATGATTGTCCTCCGAAACTAACTTTGGAGAAATGTACATCCAACAATGTTCTAAACTGTTGCACTGAGTTTGCTTCCACTATCTGCTCCAACAAACCGTAGTAAACACTGGCCACTCGGCGTTCAAAGCACATGTGGTTAGGAAACTCGCTTCAGCTCGCACCACAGACTCGTACTGGTGTCTGCGTGTGCTACAATGTGATCGCAAGTGGAGCAGCGGCCTCAATATGAGAACGTCAACGAGAAATAATCTAGGCCATGATGATATCGACTTGCACTTGACAATAGGTCAGGGTGTATAAGCTCAGTCTCTAGTAGCTATCTTCATACGGTAAGCCCCATACACTGGAGATGAGCCTGTTAGCGAGGTGTTGGACCAGTTTGACCTTCTGTGCTTCGCAGCGTTTTGTTTTACTTCGCGAATTCACCTTAGCTGATGTCGTCAAACGGGCTGCACATAAACGGCTGTTCACCGGAATCCAATCAACCAACGATGGCTCAGCCTTGGAGCTGAGAATGATACCTACACCAGCTTGACCCGTGAGTGCCGCATCGGCGTCTTCGGATGCGTGCAACCAATAACGAGAGGATAAGCCGGGTGCAGTCAATTCAATAACCCCGTTAGGGTCATTGATCCTAGTTTCGGACACACAACACACATCAACACCCAGTGTGTCCAAGGTGCGTGCGAGTGCAGCCTGCTGACCTGTTTGTCTTAGAGTGCGGACGTTGAATGTCGCCATGGAAACGGGACAGCATGGCCTTATAAGGAACTTTTGCCGATAGGCGTCCGATAAGTGCTGTGGGATGGTGGCTGCAGATGGTTCTACTCCAGTAGCACTTCGGTTGCTGTCAATTAAGCTGGGAATTCTAGAAGGAAGGTTAGTAATGGGGGCCGGGATGGAAGTAAGAGAAAAAGGTGGAAAAGAAAGAAGGGAGGCGCCAGCAGTAGCATGCTTTCGCTTATCCGCCCTGCTGTATGCAGCAGATAAGGCGACCCTTGATAATCTGCGCGACGGCCGATGCAGGATGAAGTTTATGTTTGAAGAAAATGTCATGGTTGTATGTGGGCTGGGATACTGCCAGAGCGCCCAGACCTAGACAGGAGAACGATTAGGGTCCTCATCCAAAGCCTTTGGCTCAAAAGCCTGTCCGCAAGGCAGCGGGGTGGCAGTGATTTAGTTTTACAGAAATGGACGCCATCCCATTTAAACCCCCAACCTGGAGGACCAGGAGACTGAGTTTGTCTGACCTCTCACCATTGACCAACCTGGTAGGAGTAGCTCTCGAGATGCTCGGAAGCATCACCCAGTATAGCTCAATGGGTCAATGAGGTACGCAAACCGTCGCACCACGTTAAGGTCCAGTTCTAATGCAGTCAAGGACACTTTCTATCATGAACTGAACGCCCTGCTACGCAGTGCTACTAGTTCAGATATTATAGTACTTGCAGGGGATATGAACGCACAAGTAGGGCGTCTGAGCTCTTCAGAAGCTCAGCTGGGTGGTAAGTATGGACTTAGCGCCGAACGGACTGACAACGGCGAGCGTCTGCTGCAACTGTGTGCGGAGCACCAGTTGTTTCTGAGTAGCACTGCTTTTAGACACAGTGGGCGCCGAAGTGCCACTTGGCGTCCACCTGTAGCTGGCCAGCGATGGACCCAAATTGACCACATAGCCATAAGTTACAGGTGGCGCGGTTCCATTCTGGATTGCCGCTCGTACTGGAGTACCTGTGTCGACTCTGACCATGCTTTGGTGCGCTGTCGTTTCTCCATGAACTTTACCGGAAGGCGCACAAAGCGTCTCCCCCGATTGGCAACTGAGAAATTGTCCCAGCCCTCTGTCAGGCAAGCCTATCAAGAAGCACTGCATAACGAACTCTCGCTGTCTTCAGTGGAATAGGATCTCGACTGCCATGCACGACGCAGGAGCATCTGTTTGTGGCACTATCAGTCGTCATCGCACCAGTCACTGGATATCCGAGAGGTCCGTGAACCTTTTGGAAGCTAGAGGGCACCTCCCGGCTGGTTCTGAACACAATGTGACCAGACGGGCTATTAGGCGTGAACTAAAGCGGAGCCTACGTGCTGACAAGGAAGCCTGGTGGACCAGTGGGGCTCACGAAATGGAGGAGGCAGGAGCAGTAGGCAATTACCGGAAGCTCTTCCAGCTAATACGCACCACTGGTCCGAGGAAACCAGGCGTCAGTGAGACAATCAGGGACAGCGCGGGTGCGCTGATACACAATAAGGAGCGCCGTATGGCTCGTTGGGCTGAGCACTTTGAACATCAGTTCAGCTGGCCCCCTGCTCCCGGACCCCTTCCTACTCAGGTGATGCAGGACGAGCCATGGACGGTTAGTTTAGAGCCTCCGTCGGAGGCCGAGGTCCGAAACGCGATCACAGCCCTCAATCGTTTTCGTGCCGCTGGCCCGGATTCCTTCCCACCTGCACTATTTAAGGATGGAGGTGAGGTCCTCTGCAAAGCACTGACCTCCCTATTCGAACGCATCTGGAACGAAGAGAGTGTGCCGACTAATTGGAGCGAATCGATTATAGTGGCAATATACAAGAAGGGCAGTCGCACAGACTGTGCGAACCACAGGCGTATTAGCCTAACGCCAGTTGTGACAAAATTACTGGCCTCGATTATCGTTCGTCGCCTCACTGCAGAACGGGAATCTCGGATTAGAGAAGAGCAGGCCGGTTTTCGCCCAGGACGTGGCTGTATAGACCATATATTTACTTTGCGGCAGGTGCTAGAGCAGCGTCACGTATACCGCAGACAGACAATAGCCGTGTTCCTCGATTTCAAGAGTGCGTTCGATTCAGTCGATCGATCGATTCTGTTCGAAATACTTGCGCGGAAAGGTGTTCCCACGAAATATGTGAACATCCTTCGTGCTCTATACTCGAACACTAGAGGCCGCGTCAGGGTCTATGGTGCCCTATCGCATAGCTTTTCGACTACAAGTGGCGTTCGACAGGGTTGCCCGATTTCCCCCTTTTTGTTCAATTTCGTCGTGGATTCTATCATGGAGTGTTCCCTTGCGGAATCTCACGATGTAGGTGTTGAAGTGCTGCCTGGTGAACGGTTAGTTGATCTAGATTATGCGGACGATATCGTCTTGCTTTTCGACAATGTTGAGGCGGCACAATCAACCCTGAATAGCCTATCCAGAGTGGTCCCATTATTTGGTATGCACTTCGCACCTTCAAAGTGCAAAGTGTTGCTGCAGGACCACCAGCCACTTGATGACCCCTTGACGCTTGCTAACGAGGAACTCGAGGTGGTTGATCAATCCACTTATCTTGGCAGCTGCATCAGCAATGATGGGCGTATAGAAACTGACGTGAGCTCACGCATTGCAAAGGCCAGAGCTGCCTTCTTGAACCTGCGTCATCTTTGGCGACAGAAGGGAGTTTCCCTCCGTCTGAAAGGCCGTGTATACAAGGCCACAGTGAGGGCCGTTCTGCTCTATGGTAGTGAAACTTGGCCCCTTCAGTCTGAAGATCTGAGGCGCCTTCAAGTCTTTGATCATCGTTGGTTGCGAAGCCTTGCTGGTGTCGGATGGCACCAGCGTGTCCGCAACGATGATGTGCGTAGGCGAGTACTAGGTGGTGATGATCATGCTAGCTCCCTAGAACAACAGATAGCACTGAATAAGTTGCGTTGGCTCGGGCACGTGCTACGCATGCCTGGTCACCGCTTACCTAGGAGGGCCTTGTTCAGTCTACCAGGTGTCGGATGGCGCAAGGCTCGAGGTGGACAGAAGTTGACTTGGCAGCGGGAAATGAAGTCACTGACGACCAAACTGGGTGCCGTTGGTCCGTCTCGCCTTCCGGGTTGGAGTCCACGTGACTCACCTTGTGCTTGGCTCGAGACTTTACAGGACATGGCTCGCAACCGACACCAGTGGCGCGTCTGCTGCCGTCTCCTAATCGGATTGTCTGTTTAAAGTGTGTTTGGTGCTGAGTTATCTGCGGGGTAATGGCTGATTATGACGCGTGGCAGTGAAAGCCGCAAGGAAGCTGTCTCGCCGATGCCGCCTTATCTTTGCACGATAGCCAGTTGTTTGTGACGGTATGTTGTCTACACAAGGTGTAGGCGCCTTGACCCTGAATGTTTGCTTAGGGCATTAAGGTTTTCAGGTAAGTCCCCCTTCTCTCCCTCTTCTTATTCTTTATTTCATAGGTCCTCATGGTTGTATGGCAGCGAAGCATCAGTTCAAATGGCTGATGTACTGCTGCTGCTGCTGCTGCTGCTGCTGCTGCTGCTGCTGCTGATGATGATGATGATGATGATGATGATGATGATGATGATGATGATGATGATGATGATGATGATGATGATGATGATGATGATGATGATCTGTGCTTCGCCTTGGGTGATTGGACAGTAAGCAGGTGAGCCATACTTCAGTAACGGTCTCATGCTGGAAGACGAAATGCTAGTAGCGACCTATTCAGACCAAGAACATAAGCTGCGTTCGAATGCCTAAACCATGCGCACTTCGTTATGATATAGCCTGTTTGTGTTGTCAAGGGATTTCAAATCGCAACGTGAGAGTGTCGCTAAGTGTGAGGTGTAGCGGTTGGCTGTTGTGAGTGTAGATTCGGCTGTCACAACCTTTTCCCATGCCCATGAATACCGAATTTAATGGGTTGACCGGGAGGCGGCGTTCTGCAGACCACTTGGAGTGGCGGGTGAAGTCTTGCTGAAGTAGGCCGCAGTCCTCGAAAATGCTAATCACGCTCCTCATATTCATGTCTTCTGCAAACAGAGCACACGGCGATCGAAAAAGCTAAGGCAGATCATTGATATGAATAAGGAACGATGTCTACCCCGGCACCATGCCATAAGGTACGCCACCGATCGAAGGATACCAGTCGGTCAGATGGCTATGAAGTTGTAACTTCCAATTTCGTCCAACGAGAAACTCGTGGATCCACCGGTGCCGTAAGCCACCAACACAGTGTACTCTCAGCCCGTGGAGGAAGACCTCATGGTCCAATTTGTCGAATGCTTAGTTGAAATTGATGTAGTGCACGTCGACAGACTTCCCCTGGTTCGCTGCCTGCAACTATTCATGCCTTGTCACCAGCAGGTGGGTAATGCATGGGAAACGTGACATAAAACTGTGGTGTGCGGGCCTCAGGAGACCTGTTGACCGGAACAGCTGTAGCAAACTCATCTCGGTAACCTTACTCATAATAAGTGTCAAACGAATTGGCCTGCAATGGTCAACATTGCTAGGATCACCGCCTTTCGGAATTGACCTTATCACCGAGCATTACCAATTAATCGGCAACGGACCTTCGGACAGTGATCTGCTGAACAAGTTAATCAGGGTGGGTGTGATGATGGCCGATAGGGACTTGAGAATTAATGGGTGAAGTGCGCTAGGGCCAGCAGGCTTGGTGCCGTCGCGGTTCACGAAAGGTTGATGCGCCTCGTCCACATCACAATCCAGACTGTCAGATTCGGTAATGGCAGTACACGTCGAACTCGGTACAGACATCTGGTCATTTGTAGACACGGAAACAAAGCGCACCGCCAAAGCGGGACGCACGCTCAGTGCTGAAGGTTAGGAGCTGTCCGTCCGCGCCCTCTACCAATAGCAGATCATTTGCTGACTTCACAAGTCGCAAGGATACTTTTCGGGGTAGTATTCGTGGTATTTGCAAGTTGTTCTTCGAACACTGGAAAGGTAACAGCCTCGGTTGCACGGAGCTAATGAATGCCATTGTAGCGTCAGGAAGAGTGAAAGTGAGAGGTGAGCAAATATAAGGGGGTCATCTGTCAAGAATAAAACGAGCACGGAGAAAATCATTGTCAGGACGCTAAAGTAGGGTCAAAAACTGGGGTCAAGAGTGAGACATAAACTGCCTGCTTTCTAAGCAAACAGTATTAGTATTATTATACATCACCCGCTAATCATCCGGGTAGCTCCGGTATGATGGCGTTTGGGAAAGGTTGAAAGCACTGGGGCGTATGCTTCAGGTGCACCCACAAAGGACAATGAAGGCGCTGGAATTGATGCCGAGATGAAGTGAGGGTCCTGAATGGATAATTAACGTCTTTATATCGGCGAAATCTTGTAAAGATAGGGATTGCCACACTGTATATGTGTCGTTAAGTTCAACAGTGAGGGTGGAACTAGTGGTTACAGGGTGGTAAGCAAGGGTTGTGCAGCATGCATCATTGGTTGAGCAAAAGAGTCAACCAACAAAGGTATTCCGAACTTTTCGTCGATTCGAAGCTGCGTCTGCTACCAGATACATAAAAAGTGCCATTAACAGAGGTGGCCCAACCTGAAAGAATGCCCGGGGCGCTTAAGCTGTCTGATAAGCGTCCAGAAAGGACAATGCTCACCGCAACCCAGTGTATTAAGTGAATCGATGTGAGCAAAGAGTCGATCTGGCACCACTGTAGTCACAAAGCAGAGGCAGTTGGAAGAACTTGCAAAAGTAACCAAATACAATGGTGCAGCCGCCCGTGTTGATGAACTGGGGAATCGCAGCGCTCTGTCCGTTCAAATGTGTCGAAGAAAACCGAAAGACACCCGTCACAGATGGATGATGCAACGCAAACACGGGATGGAGGATTACTTTACACGTTTTGACTAAACTTGAGCATAATGCACCGCGAGTGTAAAACATTGGAAAAAGATCCTATGCGCAGTCCGTAGATGCAGGTATCATGACCGTTCAAGAAACAGTTACTGGATTGTGCGACTGCGGTAAATGCGAAGTGACAGAGTATATGAAAACAATCGTCAGAGACCAAATTACAAAATGTGTTAAAAGTGTTTGTTTGTGGCATACAAGTAGGCTTCCATGTAACATTGAGGCGCATATTCGAGTCGCGGTGTTGAGTGTCAATGGATCGGCAGAGCAAAAGGAAGAGTGAAAAAACAACCGAACATTGTCGCAGTGTAATCATTATGGACAGCGTACTGATTACAAGGGAGTGACAGGGAAGTTTCAATGGTATGAATTGAAATCATCGTAACTCGACTCAGTCAGATGACCAGTACATATCCGAAGAAAACATTGTATGACCATTCCAATCTTGTGGGAATCGTCAGTAGTGCGCATCTCATCTGTTTCCTCTGGACTAGAAACCTGCGAAGCAACTTTTACAAGATCGTGGTCGAAACCATTGGACTGTGAGGGAGCAAACAACCGACATGACAACGTTGCTGGACTGAACATTGTGGTTTACATGTTATTGTATTGAAAAAGACAGGGTAGTCCCTGCAGTCTAGACTACCTGAAACTACATGAATTAATTCCCTCTGTTTGATATTAATGTACAAGTGAATAGGGAGAGAGCCACACTGTATCACATCCAGCAATTTAGTCATGTCGTATATTGCCGAAACCATATCCCAGTGGTCTTGCTTATCAAAAACGAGTAAAATTAGGGTTGCGGGGACGCAGTTCCACATGTGACCGATGAAATGCGAATTGCTGACGATACTCTATTGGATGAAGCAGTCATGCAGCACGTGTGATGGCCGTCTGATTGAGTTTGATGGTACTGAACTGAAATTACATCATCTAAAGCTACTCACTGCTCCCTTGTAATTAAACATGTAACCGTATTCAGTAATGGAAATCACGTAAAAAGCGAAAAATGTGGACACAAGGGGCAAAATTCTGTCCAGTTCGTTCGGTTGCCTGTCACAGCACCAACCAGTGTTTACATTCCAATGCAAGATAGCAAGGTTATCAAACTTGTGAATACTGACAGTAGACAGATGTCGTTACGTTCCGAGTAAACAGTGTTTATGACAATGCTGAGCACGATTCGTTCAGTTAGAGTTGTGTAAATAAAAGACAGACGGGGTAATCATATCACTGCAGATAGACTCACAGAATGGATCGCTTTAAAACAAACTAAGGTAACCAAAACGGGAGATATAGCACACAAATTACACGTACTTGGGTCATAAGAAAGCAAAAAAAACATTCCAAACTTACGCGATTTAAATGAGTGTGAATGAGTGCGTCTATGTAGGTGGCTGGGTTTAGTGAAATGAGTCCTGATGCATAGCTGCTATCCTTCTGACCAGCCTGTGTGACAGAAAATTGGCCAAAAGGAACAGATGAAGGTGGAGGAGTTTGGGCTGCCGTAATCGTTGACACCACAGCGGATGAAACGAGTGATTCTGGTACGCAGCGCCGGGCAATCTGGGCATCGGTGTAGCCGATCCGACTAAAGTGGGCACCGTTGCTCGAAGCAGACTGATCGGAAATGGGATCCACAAGGTGCAAACGCCTCGGCCGCGATGGAACAGGTTGCTCGTCTGAATTCTCTCGGTACAGCGCTGGAGACAAATTGTCAGCCTGAAGGGTGGGAAGCGAAAATGCGTACTGAGTCGAGTGCATTATTGCGGGGGGCGAAGTTTAATGAACTAAACAGTGGATAATTTATTTGACAAATCCGTTGAATTTTTATGTCCAAAGGGTGGATGGCGTAAGGATTGGGCAGATTTCGAAACGAGTGGTTGAAAGCCTTTCCATGGGCAAGTAAGGACTTCTCCCCGTGGATGGTTCTGCTTGTTTTGAGAAGCAGTTAACCTGACAAATACGGATATCAATGTAGGGAAGAAGTTAGACTGATCGCAGACACTGTACAGATCAGGTCTTTACTTGCACTGTAGGAGAGTAATTGAATACAAGTGATAGAGTCCAAAGGGTTTGCCGGAGATGAATTACTCGGCCGTCTCGTTGCGTATCGGTAAAACGGAGACAGGAATGACTGCGGATATCGGTATTGCGTGTTCGTAGTGATAAGGAGAGTTAGCTATGGATCGGTCGTAACCATATATGATTGTTTAAGGAAGAAAAAAGTCGGACCGACATAACACCGGAAAGTCGCACTAATGTTCCATTGGCGGATGCGCGCAAACTTGGAAACTGCGAGGTTACCTATAACCCTGAAGCTTTGGACCTGTGACCAATGCAGCATAAGCAAGACAAGTAAGATACCACAACACCGATTAGATGGTTGCTTAAAAACAAAATCTGGTGTACGAAAACATAGTTAATATATGAGAAGTGGATTCATTCAGCCACGAGGAACGAAATGAAGCGCTAGCGATGCATAATTAATGGAATTGAGAGTTTGCATGTTTTGGCTAGTAAAACGGAAGTTGTGTAGGACAAGGTTCATGCACCAGACCCTCACTGAAAGTCAAAAAGCCGGGGTGATCGGACATCTTATGGATGTATTCCGCATTTTAGTAAGGCAACAGAATAGTTGGCAGCTGATATCCCAAATTTTGACTGAACCTAATTTGATAAGCACCAAACAATTGATTGATAACTTTGTCCTTCATGGAATGAAATCAGAATACAGTGGGACAAGGGTCGCGGGCAGATAAGCCAAGGGACTATGTTATTGCATTACTCGGCGTGTCAGAGCATTACGATGACAGAAGTTAAAGATACCGATTACATGTGCAATGACAGTCCCGTGCGCAGCCCCGCACGGGACGATAGTAGGAAGAGGAGCGGTAGTACAAATAAAAATAAACGAATCGTCAGGATGGAGAATTGCAGTTATCCAGGAGGTGAACTGTAACTCGCCTAACCCAACTAATAAAGCGGTTTCTGGTCAAAATGTAACCGGATAAATTCATTAGCCGGATGAAATAAACTGTGAATCAGTGTCCAATCATTCGGCTTGGTGCCAGATGCAAATAACCTGTCGAAGAATCTGAAATAAAGGATGATGGTGATAATGATCGGAAGCTACGGCCCGCGGGGCTTGAATTAAGGAGCCCCAAGCAATTCTGTGCGGTTGGAGAAGCATCGTTATACACCAAGGCTGATATAGAGAAATGAGGATCAAAGGCCTTGAGTCTGTGGACCTAAGTCATCACATGAGCCGTCACGAAGTCATGGCTTGTGAGTTTCGATATATTATGTATCAAAAAATAGAACGCTAAGAGTGTTCAAATGAAGGGGAGAGTTCATCTGAAAGTAGTGAAACAGCAACAAGGACAAAATTACATAAAAATCCGGAGTCTACTAGAGTGTTGCGGAGACGTCTGATGGTGAATAAGAGATTTAGGATAAAAAGCAGAAGCAAGTGACCAAGGAAAAGAGAACCAGTAGTGAGAAAATGAGCGAAATGCATATATCAAGAATAGTGTCGCATTTGATGCAAACAGGCGCATTCCGCTTGCCTTGGTGGGGTCAGAGGAAAGAGGAGAGTGGGTTGATCGCGGAGGCCTGACGAATGCGTTCGCGCAATCGCTCTTCCCTGTGCGAGTCGTAGAAGCAACAGCTGCTGCTGCAGCAACCGCTGCTTGAGCCTGCAGGGCGAGCCAAGTAGCGTGTTCGGCGGATAGAGAACCAGCGTTCGAGGCTGAACGTGACTCACCAACTGCAACGGAAGCTATAACGGAGAAGACAAAGAAATATCTAAGCATACGTGTTGTTCACAGAGACGGACTACATCAAGAGTCGTTTTGTTGATCGCAGTGGTTGAAAAGCAGATTCCGAATGTAATGTAGCACATATCCTACGTAAGCTAATGATCGCTATTAGAGAAGTGACCTACTATGGCAACCTGTGAACGGAAGATAGCCTATAAACATTCGTGAGTCCGTTCACTCATCGCGCCTTTAGGCGGGTCAGGAGAATTCGGAATACTACTCAACGCATGTGCAGGGATATATTGTTGGTTGAATATCTCATGAAAAAGGAAGTCCAAAATATTCAATAGGAGTTGACGCAAAACAGCTTTGTGAGGAGATACAGGTTTTGAAGGGAACCCGCTAAGTAACTGAGAGGTCGAACACAGACAGCTGCTCAGAAATCCGACGTCCTCTGTGGCGTCCATCCAAGACATCTGATAAATCCGTCGGTGTCTGCCTGGGAACCATGAGCTGTGTTTATAGGCAAAAAAATTGATGCCAACAAGTGAATTGAATTGTTGTAACCTGGTGATACAATACCAGGAAACCCTGCAAGAACTATGTAGTCTATCCGCCGTTGATGCCAACGCAAGGAGTGCATTAAGAAGCTGGTTAATGTAAGCAAATGGGATAGCAACATAGTGAATTCGGCCAAGGGTAGCTTGATGCAGCAGGATAACATAAGCGAATCATTCGAAAGAATAGTTTGATGACAACGCCGACCAGCTGCGATTTAGACTAAGACGATCCGGTTGGCCAAAGTCAACATTCATCATAGTACCTATCGAAATACCACTTGAAGAGAAGGATGCTGGTGACCAGCAGATCTTGGTCAACGGTTAATGAAATTTGCGTCCCAGTAGAGAGTGAAACGATACAAACCTGTGGCGGTGGGATAGCAGTTGTCAGTCGCTGCCGCACTGAATGATAGCGTAGCCACGCCAAGAAATACTTAAAAACAAAAAGCCGCTGAGTGAACTGAACTAATAGAATTAGACGGCGATGCTAAAGATATGCAAGAAGGTAGTACCAGCACGGTCTACTGAGGAAGTGAAAAGTGGAGAACTCGGGCGGAAAATCCTCCGCTTAAAAATAATCAGCATCATCATCATACACGTTAGCAAAAGGTGGGAAACACCTCAGCTACTGTGCCGCATTACCTAAAAGAAAAAGGGAATAAAATGAAACAGGCGCGAACCAGCTGAGCTACCGGTAACGGATGGGCATCGTTCCGGTAAGCTACTTGCCGGCTACTTTGCAGCAGAAAAAATTACCTCGCAAAATTACATAAGGATAAACAGTGAGATAGTGGTTGGAGAGGGAGGCTAAGAGGGTGGGGTGGGACAAAGAAACTCACAGCACGAACGCCATTGAGGTCAGCTCGTTGCCATGTCAGCAAGCGTGTCCAACCAAACGTGTTCATCGTCTTTCGGATCCCAACCAAGGAGCCGAGACGCTTTGACCGAGGCCAGCTCAGAAGTGAGGGTCTTCATTCCTCTGTACCAAGTCATCGTTTGGCCACCCCTCCTCTTCTTCCATCCACACCCCCGGCGCGCAAACAACGCACCTCGCGAGAGTCGGTGGTCGGGCATACATAACACGTGGCCGAGCCATCGGAGCCTGGTGTGTGAAATACCGGTACTGAGCAATTCATCTCCTTTTCCTGTGCAGTAAACAAGGCGTCGAACACGCTGGTTGCTTACTCTGTGTTCCCACCAGATGTGAGCTAAATTGTGAAGGCAGCGGTGGTCGAATGGAACTAGTCTCTTTATGTCCGCTGATGTAAGGGGCCAGGTTTCACAACCGTACAGTAGGGTCGAACGTACCGCTACATTGTACACTATGCCCTACAGGGCGAGAGTGATGTCGCGCCGGCGTCATAAGCACCTCGAGCTTTTGCTATACGGTTCGTGATCTCATCCTCAATTCCACGGGCGCTGATACAACTTCCCAGGTAGTTGAATTTTCGTGCGAATTCTACCTGATCCCCACCAAGGGTCAGCGAAACAGGAGGGTCAGGCCAAGCTTGGAGGAACATTTTGCACTTCGAGGGTGTGAAGCAAAGCCCGAAGTGACGGACAGCCAGTGCTAATCTGTCCAGTGCCGCTTGGCACGTCTGGGAGCTGTCACAAATGAGGGCAATATCGTAGCATACTCAGTCAAGAAGTCGTTCTCCTGGGAGCAGATCCACACCTTCCAAGTCATGTCCTGTAAATGCAATCTCCATGACTTCGTCAATAGCGAAGTTGAATAGGAAAGGTGACAGCGGGCATCCTTGCCTCACCCCGCTGGAGATATGGAAGGGTGGCGACAGCTTGCCGTATGCCCTCACTCTGCCTGAGCTACGCGAATATAATGCCTGGATAATATTTATATATTTCTCAGGTATACCTTTCTTGAGTAGACAGTCCCAAAGTGCCCGTCTATTCACCCAGTCGAATGTACATTTGATAACGAGAAATACGACAACGGTGAGCCGCCAATATGTGTGACGGTGCTCTAACAACTGACCCGAAGTGAAGATGTAGTCAATGCAGCCACGACCTCAACGAAACTCGGCTTGCCCTGGCTTTCACGAGTGTTAGTGAGTGAAGGATGACAGAGACAAGCAATTTGGAGGCGATGGAGTTCAGACTGATTCCTCTGTGGTTGCCGCATTCCGATCGTGAGCCTCCCAAGGAAATCTGGACTATGATGGAGCGGCTCCCATCGGTTGGACAGTTTCCTGCTCCCACAGTTTGACTAGTAACTCGTGTAAATCATCCACAAGAGCAGATCCACCGAATGTGAAGAGGGCTTGGGGTAGATAATCCGGTCCCGCGGCTTTATTTAACTTTAACAGTGCGATCTCACGTCCGACTTCTGAGCGATAGGCTGGATCCAAAAGCACAGTCCAGGGCGCAGGGTGATCACTAGCCGGCGAGAAATCTAACAATTCCGACCGATGAAATTGCTTTCCAAAATGCTCAGTCCAACGCTCCAAGCGTTTTGACAAGTTGTGGATAGACTGTCCACTCTCGTCACGTACAATTTCACTAACACCAGGTCTCCTGCTGCCCGGTTCCCGTGTCAGCCGGCCATTTCCATCCCTGATGCACGATGAGACCACCAGAATTCGCGGTCTCTCTTCAGGCTAGCACGGAGTTTTGCCAGGAGCTCTTTGCGAGTTTCATTGTGTTCGCTTCCAACCGGAATATGCCGGCGAGCATCGATAAATTTCAGAGACTGCGAAGAGACCCAATATCAATGTTGGCTATTAGACTTACCACATGAGGATTTGCCTGCTGCTAGTAAGGTCTGATGAATATGAGACCAGTGACCTTCAATTGCATGCAATGAGCGCTTACTCAACTCGCATGACACCGTACTTTGACAGGCATGCAGAACAGCTGGTTTCGCCAGTTGGCTGGTGTCAATGCGCTCACAACATCGTCGTGGGCGTCCGCCAAAACGCATCCGCAGGTCAGCACATACAAGTGCATGGTCGGCGACCACACATGTGCACCAAATCGAACGACAGTTACGGACGCAGCCTTTCCATCGGCAGCATATCGCAATGTGATCGATTTGTGTCCATAGCTAGTTCGAGGCTGGTGGACGCCAAGTCACCCCTCGACGGGTGTTGTGTCGGAAATTAGTGCTCGCAAGAAATAACCGAGCATCATCACACAAATGAAGTAAACGCTCACCGTTATCATCACGCGAGCCTACACCATGTTGGCCGCTCACATGCAGTTCATAAGTGGAAAATTTTCTAACTTGAGCTTTCAGATCGCCAGTCAGCACAGCAGTGTCAGACTTCGTATGTGGCGAAAGAGCTCATGCTATTGGTGATAGAAGTCATCTTTTACCGAATCATCGCTAGAGTTTGTGGATGCATAGGCAGCGATAACGAATAGACACCAGTTAGTCCCACGCGACTTCGAGGCTTTGAACGAGCCAGCCAATCGGACCGCACACAATCGGCTACTGATTGGAATCCAGTCAAGCAGGGCAATTTCAGTCCGGGGACTCAGGGCAATATCAACACCAGCTTGGCCGGTGCTCGTCACCGGATAGGCGCAATGAGAAAGTGCTGCTAGTGTCACCTGAAGGGGATCGCAAAATGAGCACAGAGCTCGTGTCTTTCAGGCGGGTCTCCGATATATCGATATCGACCGAGAAGGTCTCTAATGTTAGGGCAAGTGCTGCCTGTTGACCGATCTGTAGCAGTGTGCGTACATTGAGGCATGCCAATCTGAAGGAGGATCGATGGCTCCAAATGGAAGCCGATGAACTGAAATGGACCGCTTGCTTGGACATGGACTTGTCGACAGGACAGGAATGACGATCCGCGTTCACATGCGAGTTGAAACTAAAAGGTAAAAGAGTATCAAAGCAAGGTGGGGAGGTCCAATAATTGGGGGTTGAAAACTGGGGGGATAAAATGTTTCGAAATACTGGTAGCTCGGGTTGATGAATCAATTGTTCGTTTGTTCTCCGAGCTTGGGGATTAAAGTGAAGCTGGAACGGGACGGTAAGAGTAACAAAGCGCAAGATGAGTAGGCTTGAGCAGTAGCATCCAAACCCCTATCTATCATGCTCGATGAAGCAGATAGGGCACCGTTGATTATCCTCTGCGGTGGCCAGAGCATCAAGAAACAGTTTAAAGAGAAATTCTTTGGATTGCGTGGGCAGGATACTGTCAGGTTGCCCAGGCCAAGACAGGAGAAAGATTAGGGTTCTCAACCAAAGCCTTTGGTTCAAAAACCTGACCGCAAGGCAGCGGGTTCGGTGTTGGGCTACAAGGAGTACGTTTAAGGAATAAGGAGCCACCCTCATTCCAACCCCCAACTTGGAGGGCCAGGAGACTGAGTTTGTCTGACCTCTAACCATTGACCAATCTGGTGTGAGTGGCCCTGAAAGTGCGAAAAAGCACAACCCACCATAGCTCAATGGATCTCTGAAGCACGCAAACCATCGCACCACGAAAAGGTCCAGTCTCACTGCAATGGTTAAAAATAATCGGATGACGATGACTCGCCCACTGGTAACTGCAACAGGCGAGAAACAGCCTATTCGACCTACAAGGGCGTATGTGTGTGTTTTGATGAGAGTAATGGAATGCATGCAGCTGTGTCCACCGAAAAAAAACCGAAAGCTGTAGGTTAGGAAGGTTGGCAACTTGACTCGGCAATCATTCAGAGAGGGGACCCGCCCGGTCAGCGTGAAACAGCACAGAGCGAGGATTTCAATTTCCTAGAAACCCCGAGTACTGTAGGACAAGAACTAGATGACAACTTCGTTCTGCAGAAGTTAACCCTGTCATCAACAAGCAATTTGTTAAGTGAACACACTAGAAAACCAGCCGGTTAAAGAAATACCACCTGATCACCTCCGATGAATATTCAAAAATGGTAGAACATGTTGACAAATCTAATCCAAATAAAGGGCAACGCGTTTATTTTAAGGGAAATAGTGAGCGCAAGAATAAACCAGTGAGGACAACAGCCACAAAGGGAAGGAAACCATACGTAACAGCAAGAATGCGACAGGAAATTAAAAAAATCACACCGAGGCATTCTACCTGTGGGGAGCATGGAGGTTAATAAGTCGCACGACGGACGGTTGGGCGGCAATGCAAGTCCGGCATTGTGACCACGAGAGCATGCGGTCAACCCAATGGGAACAGGAAGTGTGTTGGGGTCTATACAGCGCGAATGCAGTGAAACCGGTGGGATGGTACGATCTGGGAAGGAAACACAAGGAGATGTGCTACAGAAAGTACACGAATGACAAAGTATATCAATAAAAAGTCACAGTCACCACACAACGGCTGTATTCACTATAACGCCGAGATCGCTGCCGGTATGGTAAGACCAGTGAATAAAATTAGTACAGCAAAGCGAAGTAAATAGTTTCCCTCTGATAACCACAGCCATCGATCTAATAGAGGGCAACCATCTGACTCCTCAAATAATCAGGCTCCCTGGAACTTGCGGCAGCTCATCAAGTGAATCTTGAAGACAAAGCAAGCAGCGTGGTAGAATATGAAAACGTCTTACCGATTCCGGGTGGCTGCGTAGAAGCTGCAGGGGGGTCTGCCCATCGTAACTGCTGCGCAGTAAGAAAATCGCCGAATAAAATTGCCGTGTTCGTTGGATTTAAATCGAGGTCACCAGAAGCTGTGCTTACGGGCCATCTAAGTGATTGATCGGCAGAGTGGTTCATTGATTCGGGAAACTGCGAGTAGCGATTCCAACGATCCCCTGGTTCATCGGGCTTTGGCTGTTCCACCGAGTAGTGCACGCGTGAATCCGCATGTGTACCGCTACTGGCCACAGCTGAATGCAGAGCAAGACTCGAATTGTCGAGCATTTGTGGATCCGTGTTCTTACGGCCTATGACTGCCGCAGTTGCAGCAGCGGCAGCAGCAGCAGCGACTTGCATTGCGGAAGCCTATACCAAAGAGAGCGGAAACCATGATAGAATGAAGATATGATAGCAGGTACGGGAATGGGGATTAAAGCCGGGTCAACAACATGTGATGAGTAAGTAGACGTAAATGTTTTATAAAGACATAGGCATAACATGACTAACAGAGGGATAGCTGATATAAGGTACTATGACTGACCAAAGTAAGAATTTCAGGTTATGAAATCGAAAGGATCACCAAGAAAGCAAGGCGGGCTATACATATAGCAATTCGGATAATTCCGTAAAATCAAACGACATTGATATGCTCTGTGTTTCTGCTATCAGTAGCGAAGACATAGAAGAAGAGGTATTCCAAGCAATATCGACGGTATTCACAGGTCAAAAATAGGATTGGTGGAAACAGACGTGAAAGTAGTCAGAAAATGGGGAAATCAAACTTGCCAATTCTTCGCTTGTTGCACTGACGGCTGCGAGTTGCGCGGCAGCAGCATACAACTCGGCTGCTGGTGCAGACGGAAAAGAATGTGGAACACAAGAGATGGGATTGGCAGAATCGACACCCAATTTGGAGGAGGAGGCCGATTCGCGCGTCGTGTGTACCAATTCCGGTTGCAGAGATTTCTTGGCCTCAAGAGGACTTGACTGGTACGATTTGGAATCTGCAACGAAAAGATCGTAAAAAAGAAAATGGGTGTTTGGACGGCAGCGACCCCAGAATACGCATGTTTTGAGGGGCCTGAACTGTGGTGCAGTACCCCCCCCCCCTGTGTCCGCCGGCTTATGAAATGTTGGTGTTTAAGCCATCTGTATTTCTGAAAACAGAGAAGTCAAGGAATCACATTGCAGGATTCCAATGTCCTGGCGATATTAGGTGCGTCAATAACTAATATTTCTCATCCATTTTTATGTTCAAAAAGGTGCCATCCACTTAGGACCAACATCTTAGCTATCTACGTTTGATGTGCAGCCCGCAGTATCCAATGAAAGCGCGCAAGGAAACATCACGTAGACACAATATTTCACAATGTATGTCAACCCACTCGTAAGCTGCATCGACGTGTTGGAACAGAAATGTTACAAACTGACAAGAATTGTGGAGCGTGTTACGACTGGGATAGCAGTCGCATAAGAAACAGCTGCAGCAGAAACTGAATTCGGTCACACAAACCTAAGCTCCGCTTTGGAACAGTGTAGCCAAAAACGTTTGTAGTTAATAACGTGGAGCCAATTAGCTCCCCAACGAGAACTAACATAAACGCGGGCAACCAGGGGATGCCAACCCCGGCGACCGCAATCTTGTAAGTGGTTTTTCCCGGGGGTGAGCCTGTGTCACATGACGCTCTATCGCATTCGGGTTTATCTAACACCATCAAAAGCCTGACAACATACACAACCCAAGGTAAAGTTAGCGCTCACATGTGCAACAACCACAAAAGGGGTTAGAAATGACAAGAAATCCAATGTACAGCGGACGTCATCGGCTTCTACAGTGCGATCGCATAATCCCGTACCAAGCTTAGAGATTGAGCTCTAGCAAATGGCGGCACGCATGGTTGGGACTTCTCAAAATATGGTAAGCAAAAATAAGGTTGCCGCGCAATCGCCGATACTGTCGGCTAAAGATCCCGAGCACTCGAAGCCTTCGTTCATACGGCAAATTATACAGATCCTGAATGTTTTTGGATTGCCCGGCGTTGGGGGATCTCCAAGGCGGTGAGATCTCTCCTCAGCCATGGCTGCCAAACCTGTTTGGCGTATTCCACATGTGGCCGTATGCACGAGTCCAGAAGTTGTGGAAAAATCGAAGGGTTGAATCGTCCGAGGGCATGTTTCAGGAGATCCACGTGTTGGATGCCCCTCCTTGACGCCGTTTCAGTCTGATTCAAACATCCAAGGTCAACCTAAACAAAACTCCCTGATCCTTCTCGCCAGAAGACGTGTGAAGCTCCTGGTTGCCGAGTTTGTGGGAATGAACCAACTTGTGCCCCAGATGCAGCACTCTAAATTTGTCCACATTGAATCGAAGTAGATTCTGGACAACGCAGCTTAGCGTTTAAACGCTGAAAAGGATACTTATGGTGAAATGCAGTTCTGAGGACAAGAGCGTCGGGCGTACTTGCGAACGACTTCATGACATGCTGATGCAGCGCCCAGATCTACTACGAAAAAATACATTCATCGGGCTAGCCGAACAACCTCTTCGTGATGTCAGCTGGTCAGTTCGGGTTTACCCACTTCCAGCAAATAGTTCGGCGGCAGTGTTTCAGAAGATTGTGGGTTTTCGCCTGGTAAGCGTTTTTCTACAAAACGCCACAAAATGTCCGTGTAACAACACTGTGACGTGACGGATGTGATTCGCCGCTAACTAGAGTCACTGCTGCTTACGTAACTGGATGATCTAACCCAATCCACGGACGTGGTGCATCCAATACGAAGATTTCATTTCTTTTCTTCCTACGCTTGACAGAAAACAATCACAAATACGGCGTCACATTCACAAATTCAAGCAACACAACAACACTCGTTCTTACTTACATGCACTCATGCACACTTAACACATGGACCCATATGTTACATATAAACTTGTGTCGCTTTTAAATTAACCAGTCCTCGTTGTATCACCATGATCAGGCGTGATCAGGCGTGTTTCGTACTGTCGAGAATAAAACAGTACTTTCTTTCTTTATTTCAGTATTGCTCGATAACTGTGGTTCCAGATAATATTATGTCAAGCAACACCTCAACTTTTAAGCGGAAACACTTGTACCGACATGTTACTTTGGCTCCTGTGCTCATGAAACCATGGATTACAACATGGCGAAATCATGCCGACCGTTGGCTATTGCCACCATAGTAATAACCTTGCTTTTTTCGCAAACCAGCGCCATAGTGTTCCTGGATCCCACTATTATCCGAGGAACTTCTCAAGTGTATAAACTACGAAAATTTTGGTGTTACTTTATTTTAACAACACGTTTTAATGTTCCAAAGCAGCTATGCTTGCAGGTATATTTGATCATGCCTTCACTTGGTTGCCTCCTTCTATCGAGAATATACTATTTATTTAGTTATAACTTCAGTAGCGCAGCCATTGTACTGATTAAAGGTAAGTACTTTTTTGGTATTGCATTGTAGCAATAAATGTAGATATTTAGTTTTTTCAATTTGTTGTACGGTCAGCATATGCAGAAACAAACGGGGATAGGTTAAGTGTCCCGGTTTGCTGCGCAAGAAATCTGGAAGCGCCTCGCTTTGGTTCACGAATAACCTGGCCACCTAACATACATTGTACCTAACACGTGCGTCGCCACCGCTGAATCTCACAGTAGAGCACCATACTTAGACGTCGCCATGACTTGCTAGAACTAGCAGTGTTGTGTTCAGTTTGCTCACGGTATGTCCTATACACACATATTCACACTTGTTGCGAATACGTTTGTCAACGCAGTGTGTACACCACTGTTGAACCGATACCGAATCTTATTCCTTGGCTAGTGCTGTCGGAAAGGAAAAGGAACTTCCCTCTACCTATAATATGCTTATCGCTCCAATCCATTCTGCCGTATATTTTCAATGTGGTTTTAGAATATTGTGAAACGGGTGTTTCACTAACGCTTTCGGGCGTCCACTATTCAGTAATTACATTACTGTCTACTTGCAAGCGGCGTTCCCAACTTCCTTCTCTGTGCACATGACCTTATCTGTGAAACGCAGAGACCGGAATTGTAGTGCTGTGTCCCATATGTGTCCGCCGGTTGACGAAATATCGGTTTGAAAGCTAATCATTCTTGCAAACAGAGCAGTCAAGGAATGGTGATGTGCAACTCCATGGTGAGCGATTTCAGATTCCTCAAAACTAGCTTTTCCTATCCACTTTTATTTTCAAAATGTGTCATCCACTTGATACCAACAACTTTTGGCCATTTACTTGAGTTTGCCAGCATTATGTACAAAATAGTGGGCATTGATGAGCTAATGGTAACACCATGTTCTTGAGTGCCTACTTCCGACTGAAACATGAGCTAAAACAATATACGGCGCAATGTCAATTTTTCAATCACCTTAAGCTTTGGCCACTCCCTAGGTTAATCTCTTCGGTCATACAGCGTTTCACCGTACCCAGTGCGTCGCATTTTGGCACTTTGGTGAGGAGTGCGCTAACGTTAACACAGAGCATCGTTTCATCTTCGTTGCACAAGAACTCATGAGGCTTCTTTTCAAACGTATTCGTTCACCATGTCAACGGCTGCAATATACTAACGATTACATATAGACCAGTAAATGCAAGCTGTTGCCAACCCGGTAACGTTATCACAATTTACGCGGTACACTTCCGCAAAGCTCACTTCAGTACATCATGCACTGCTGTGCTTGTGCAGATGCTAACCTCATCATTAAGGCCGATCAACGGCAGTTAACAGGTAATTCGGCCACACCCACCGATTACTAACGCATTGTTCCATGACAGCGCGTAATGAAGCACCGCACGCATTATTTCACCTAGGCAATATTATCCACAATCGATCATACGTAGACATCGCTAAGCATAGGTCAAACCAGGTGAGGTTGACGGACTTGTCTGCTAGCTTGCATGCAGCTACATTCAGTGAAGGCAATCGATACCGTCTCATTGTGCAGCACATTTAACGTCCGGTTGTCCGCGCGCAACAGTGAGCACTGTGAACGCAGATGGAATATCTCCGGCCCCCCAGTTCTGTGTTGTGTGTCTTGATACCACACAAGTGAGTGGGTGAGAGTTACTGTACTTCCTCAACCATCCATAGATGCCGCGTGCTAGTCCGCACCGCATACTACAGTGACTGAGCTCACGTGTTGTTTTCACGTCCGCGTGTGCATTACGTGGTTTGTTGGCTGAGCGCAAAGCCTAATCGCTGCAGATGATCTGAGTACTCTTGCACTGATTTGCAATTGGTCAAGACGATGGGTACGCATTTGTGCGTGTGCGCCACTTTAGATTCAACTTCATGTGATTGTGGATTAAGTTGAGTATCCTTAAGGAGGAGCGCGATTCCGTCATGGATTCAACTGAGTCGTAAAAGGTCCCATAGACGTGCAGGTGCCGTCAAGTTCGTTCTCTTACCAAACTCACTGGTAACCAGGAGAAAACAACATGAAATAATCACCAGGAGAAAACTCAACCGAACGAAGGCGCAATAAAAGTAGTAGGCAAGTGCAACCTCGAGCGCCCTCTCAAGTAAGTCATGGCTAGCACGCAGCACACTATCACCGACACTCTGGCGCCATTAGCCCAAACTCTATGCCTTCCGACCGTCCTCAAAGGTGCGTGCGCGATAGTTATGCCATTCTCTCGACAGACAAGGTCACTGGCCTGTCCATATGAGAGTTAAGCGGTAGACTGACAAATACTCAACATTTCGCCCAATAACTGCGCGCAGACACACTGAGCATTTGAATTGTCGCAAAGAGAGATAAGTGTCCGTAAAAGGATAGGTACAGCGTCTCCATTATCATCATCAGCAATAGCATTACACCAGCCAATTGCACTAATGTTTCGCCGTCGTAAAACCATAGTGGCCTAAGCAATGATGAATGATAAGCAAGAGAGAATGGGGACGTAGCGGAAAATCTTAGTGCCAAAAGCAAACATTTAGGGTCAAGGCGTCAGTACCCTGTCAAC